CTACCAGTAGCGTCCTTGCTCCTAGTAGCGATGCCAGGAGCCCCTAGTAGCTTCTTGTTCCTAATAGTTTCTTGCTCCTAGTAGTAAATCCAGGAGCTACCAGTAGCGTCCTTTGCCCCCAGTAGCGATGCCAGGAGCCCCTAGTAGCTTCTTGTTCCTAATAGCTTCTTGCTCCTGGCCAGGAGCTACCAGTAGCGTCCTTGCTCCTAGCAGCGATGCCAGGAGCCCCTGGTAGCTTCTGGTTCCTAATAGCTTCTTGCTCCTAGTGGCAACGGCAGGAGCTACTTCCTTGCTCCTAGTAGCGATGCCAGGAGCCCCTAGTAGCTAGCAGCTACCAGTAGCGTCCTTGCTCCTAATAGCGATGCCAGAAGCCCCTATGTAGTAGCTTCTTGTTCCTAATAGCTTCTTGCTCCCAGTAGCAATGATAATGCCAGGAGCTACCAGTAGTGTCTCGTAGTAGCGATGCCAGGAGCCCCTAGTAGCCTAGTAGCTTCTTGATCCTAATAGCTTCTTGCTCCTAGTAGCGATGCCAGGAGCCCCTAATAGCTTCTTGCTCCTCGTAGTAAGGCCAAGTGCCCCTAGTAGCGTCCTTGCTCCTAGTAGCGATGCCAGGACCTCCTTGCAGTTTCTTGTTCCTAATAGCTTCTTGCTCCTAGTAGCGATGCCAGGAGCCCCTAGCAGCTTCCTGTTCCTACTAGCTTCTTGCTCCGAGTAGTATTGCCAGGAGCTACCAATAGCGTCCTTGCTCCTAGTAGCGATGCCAGGAGCCCCTAGTAGCTTCAACTTGTTCCTACTAGCTTCTTGCTCCTAGTAGTAATGCCAGGAGCTACTAGTAGCATCCTTGCTCCTAGTAGCGGTGCCTTGCTCCCAGTAGCTTCTTGCTCTTTGTGGGCCCGTGTTTGATTACTACATATTACATATATTACTGTACTACAGGTGTCGTGCGGGTCAAATGAGTTTAGCAGCTAAGGTTCATGCGGATCTTGTTGGTCTTTCAGCGCAACCGAGACGGTTGAGTCTCAGTATGCAATTTCATCGGGCCACCTGCTGACTTTGGCCCCACAAACATACGTGAACTGTGTGAAGAACCCACATGACTGTGGCGGAACAGGTGGTTGCGAAGGCGCTACTATGGAGTTGGCCTTCAACCTCACAGTGACAAAAGGCATTGCGCTTGAAAGCGACTTGCCTTACAAAGGGAGGGATGAGACGTGCAAGGCCTACAAGCCTGCGGTGAAGGCCAGTGGTTATGTCAGGCTTCCTGTGAATGATGCCAGTGCACTTGAAGAAGCGCTTGCAAGCAAGGGCCCTGTCTCTGTGACAGTTGCCGCGGGATCTTGGCAACTGTATGGTGGTGGCATTTTCACAGGATGCAGCAAACATTCGACGGCAATCCTGGACCATGGTGTGCAAGCGGTGGGCTATACAAAAGACAGCTGGATCGTTCGAAACAGTTGGGGAGAATCTTGGGGTGAAAAGGGCTACATCAGGCTCTCAAGGGCAAGCGACTCCAAAACCTTCCTGGACACACGACCGGCAGATGGAGAAGCCTGCAAGCCATACCCAAAGACTCAAACAGTTGGAGGTGAATGTGGTGTGCTCTTCGACTCTTCTCTTCCTGTCGGAGTAAGCGCAGCCTTTGATGAAGTTGTGGTTTGATGCCAACCAATTCTCAGTCGCAACTGGAAAGAGTGTGCCAAGGCGTATGTCATTTCGCATCCTGTGGGAGTGAAATGCCAACTGTTTGTCACATTGTGCAATGATATACATGTAATTACTATCCCAAGAATGTGAACATTATTATTGACTGCAGCCATTTCAACAATGTTGAACATATTGCTGACACCTCTTCACTGAAACTAGCAGACAGCCTCTCCCAACATAGTAGTAGACCTTGCCAGAGAGAGCATAGACAATCTCATATCACACTATCACATCAAAAACGATCAAACATGCCAATAGTTCTGCCATTCTTGTTTGTGGTGTAGGGGTTGGAAGCGAAAGGCAGAGGGAGCCTCCCTGTAGCACGCTTCTCCGGAGCTTCTTACTCGATGCAATGGAATCAGCGGTTGCTTGGCAGACCATGTGGGTCCAATTGGTCCAAGTGAACTGTCGACCTGCTTGCCAACTGAGGAACAGCTCCTCTCAAAAGCTGCAGGTGCAGTTGGGACCTATGATTTGGTATAGGTTTTGAACACGTGGCTTGTGAAGAGATTCATCTTGGTTTTGCTGACTGTTAGATGCACAAAGGTCAGGGGCATCGTGAATGCCGCCGAAGGCGGCTTTCAGCTCCTAGCACAAGTAGTGGAGGAGCTCATGGATTGCATTGTTTTCACACACACACATATATATATATACATAAAACTACACATATAGATATACACATTTTTCAACTTTCTCATGCAGTTTGTCAACCTAGGCTCATTCTTGCATTCTAATCAAATCTCATTTAGGCGAGTAGAGCATGCCGGTGCAGGAAGCTATCGATTCTCCTGGATATCCAGCGCAAACACCACCCTCGCCGGCATCTCTTGATCTCAGGAAAAACAGACACCTTTTGGTTGCTTTTTGCGTCACTCCGGTTTGTCTTCCTTGACTGCATTCAGTTTGCAGTGTTTTGTCAACTTTCTCGAGGACTGTCCCCCCGAAGCCTAATGAGCCCAATATTCCGGTCAAGCGAATTGAGCCGAATGACCGCCTCAAGTCCATTGAGCCGAATCAAATGCCAACTCCGGACTGTGAGAGCCTCGTCATACGAGCGTTGCCGCGGCCTTCAGATGCACAACTCTCCGAAGGACGCAAGTCAAAGTTTTCAATATGATTCAGTGTCATTTTGGTGGCACTGATGTGCTTTGCTTTTTAGTTGTAGGAGACAAAGTGCACGTGTAGCACCCAGTACGATTTCCACGTTTGCTTACAGTTCTATGAGTCCCGGCAAGACAAGGTCTGGAGCAAATCCAGGGGAACCTGGACCGAAGACGGTGAGGTGCGAAAAGAAGCGTTTGTTGAAGAAACGGTGCTCATAGTTCAATCAAAGGCCCAATGCAAGCATAGTCTGATTTGAAGATGGTCAGGTGGTTGAGATATCAAAGGTCGATGTGTCAACTCCTGAAGTATGGCGTGTGGATGCAGGTTTAGCATGTGTTTACTGCTTTCCTTCAATATTATGGAAGCGTCCTGAGGCAGATTCTCGGTGAAACCATCACCAAGGGATCTGTGTATGTGCTCTTTGACGAGGGCAGCAAAGCAAAATGGGCAGGGGTCCTTTGCGTGCTCACAGAGACTGGAGAGCAACTGTTTTGTCATGGTGAGGTCCGCCCCAGCGACATCAACGTACTACTCAAGAAGCCGGGCTGGTCTCCGCAGGCGCGGTATAGCTCCCGTGCTGTCTTGAACTTCTGGCTGTTCAAGTTCACTCTCGGAGTCGGAGTGCAGGCGGGAAGTGCGACTCCGCCAGGAGAGGGGTATGGTACATGATGTTACATCTGCCAAGAGAGAAAGAAAAGAAGTTTTTGGCCCCCCTTCAAGAAGCCTTCCTTTAACATCCTTTGATCCTTTAATACAGTGGCGGAATGATGTATAGACAAGGAGATGCTCACAGAGAGAGAGAGAGAGAAAACAAGATGGAGCCCACGAACCCGAATGCAAACACGTTCAAAAAGCTACATATGTCCAAATGACACTCTTGTAGGACACTCTTGTGGGACACTCTTGTGGGTCACTCTTGTAGGACACTCTTGTGGGACACTCTTACGGGACACTCTTGTGGGACACTCTTGTGGGACACTCTTGTGGGACACTCTTGCAGGACACTCTTGTGGGACACTCTTGTGGGACACTCTTGTGGGACACTCCTGTGGGACACTCATTTGGGACACTCTGTGGGACACTGTTGCGGGACACTCTTGTGGGACACTCTTAAGGGACACTCTTGTGAGACACTCTTGCGGGACACTGTTGCGGGACACTCTTGTGGGACACTCCTGTGGGACACTCATTTGGGACACTCTTGCGGGACACTCTTGTGGGACACTCTTGTGGGACACTCTTAAGGGACACTCTTGTGAGACACTCTTGCGGGACACTCTTGTGGGACACTCCTGTGGGGACACTCATTTGGGACACTCTTGCGGGACACTCTTGCTCTTGTGGGACACTCTTCTAGGCCCTCTTGTGGGACACTCTTGTGGGACACTCTTATAGGACACTCTTGTAGGAAACCCTTGTGGGATACTCTTGTAGGACACTCTTGTGGGACACTCTTGTAGGACACTCTTGTGGGACACTCTTGTGGGGCACTCTTGTGGGACACTCTTGTGGGACACTCTTATAGGACACTCTTGTGGGACACTCTTAACTCTTGTCAGACACTCTTGTGGGACATGGTTGCGGGACACTCTTGTGGGGCACTCTTGTGAGACACTCTTACGAGACACTCTTGCAGGACACTCTTGTGGGACACTCTTGTAGGACACTCTTGTGGGACACTCTTACGGGACACTCTTGTTGCACACTCTTGTAGGACACTCTTGTGGGTCACTCTTATGGGACACTCTTGTCGGACACTCTTGTGGGACACACTTGTGGGACACTCTTGTGGGACACTCTTGTGGAACACTATGGAACACTCATACGGGACACTCTTGTGGGACACTCTTGTGGGACACTCTTGTAGGAGACTCTTGTGGGACACTCTCGTGGGACACTCTCGTGGGACACTCTTGTTGGAAACTCTTGTGGGGTACTCTTGTAGGACACTCTTGTGGGACAGTGGGACACTCCTGTAGGGCACTCTTCGTACGAGACTTCCTCCAAAAGTCACGCTGCGAGGCTGCAAGACGAGCGTTTCGTACGAGACTTCCTCCAAAAGTCACGCGCCAAGTCTCAAAAGCGAGCGTTTCGTACGAGACTTCCTCCAGAAGTCACACGTCAAGTCTCCAAAACGAGCGTTTCGTACGAGACTTCCTCCTTGCAAAAGTCACATGTCAAGTCCCCAAAACGAGCGTTTTGTACGAGACTTCCTCAAAAACTCACATGTCAAAGTCTGCAAAACGAACGTCTCGCACGAGACTTCCTCCAAAAGTCCAGCGGAAACACCCATCGGAGCACACACACATCACGCGGCCCTGCCAAGCAGTTTCGCGATTCCAGCCCCTCCAAACGACACCCGCTCACACGCCAATCCCAATGTGACAGCGACATTCACCTCTACCGCAACCCACAACCTCCCGATTCCCTGCGCCTGCCACGAATCTTTCCGCGTCCACATGTCTAACGCGCGCAAAGTACTTCGCCTGCCACGAAATGTCACCTCCGTCACACATCGCAACCTCACGATTCCCTGCGCCTGCCACGAAAATCCCACTTCCACACCTCAAAACCCGCACAAAGTCCTGCGCCTGCCACGAAAAGTAACAATGTCATCTCATGTGAGCTTCAACAAAATTTGCACCACACCACACGTTTGGAATGATTTCGACCCGTTCTGAGCACACTCCCATCCACCAAAATCGGCATTTCAGCTGAGACTTGTCACGAAAACAGAGCTTCGACGCCACACCCTGAAACGCAAATCCCAATGGCACGGCCACATCCAACACCCCAAAAACACGACTCTCCAAACGCTAATCCCAATGGAACTGCGCAGCAATCTGCAGATCTCACCAAACTGCGCCTGTGCAGCGAAACGCATCACGTTGCTTGCGCGACATGTCTTTCTCATGCAAATCACAATGGAATAGCGGCGCAAACGGACACGGGACACATCCATGAAAAGTCACTTGCAAAGGCTTCCCCCAATGGCAGCGCCTTAGCGCTCTACCGCGGACGGTTGCGAACGGTTGCGAACGGTTGCGGACGGTTGCGGACGGTTGCGGACGGTTGCGGACGGTTGCGAACATAGAAACAACGGGTCGCGAACAAGACTCCACCCCCAGACCCCCAAGAGTTAAACGAGAACCCTTCGCTGCGCATTCGGGAAAAAAGAGAGAGGGGTGGAGTGACAGAGAGGGAGACGTCCCCTGAGCAATCAAATGATCGGATAAGGAGAGCACAGATCGATTTACTTATATGACCAAGCACAATGGCAACAAACATAGAAATGTTGCCACATAGCCAGACTTGGCAGAGGAACCCTTGAGTTGACAGAGTTGTAGCTCAGAACACTTAACAATCCTGAGCTTCATGGCAGTGCTAGGAGGATATGCCGGATACAACTTGCCCCAAGACTGCGACCACAACCCTGGTGACAGGCGATTGAATGATTGATGTTGGAGCCCTTGCTAGGGTTTTGCATTCGTGTTGTTAGTCTTGACATGCCCATCGAAGTTGGTGACACGTCACTGAACGATCAATGCAGGCTGTGCCACACTTGGCTCGAGTGTGCCCAACCCCACTTGCGAATCGTATGCCATGCTCAAGCTGCTGCTGTTGGTGCTAACTGTGCCAGTGCACCCATCGCAACTCTACGATGGGACAAACTTCTCAAAGGCATCTCCGGATCAAGCTAGCTTGTCCCTGGTATTATGTGCCTGTTGTTTCTTGTATATCTATATTACTGTACTGTATATGTAATACGGTGTAACATGCTTTTGTATACTGGACTCTTTTATGTGGCGCTTTGGCGGAAAAGAAACTTTAGCTTCAGGCACTGGGTGCACCACGTGGCACATGCCGGGCCCTGTACTGGCCGACCTTGGGAAGTGTCCAACCGCTGCCGCATGCAGCTTTGGATGCCTTTGCCACTTGGGCTGCAAGCTGAAGCTTCGTTTCTTAAACATGCTTTCGCTAAACTTATCATGAGGGCAGCAGTCCATTGATCATTGATACCTTCCCAAAATGTGCATTCAATTCATTCACAACCTTGCTTTCAGCTGTCTCAGACTCAGGATGTGATTATCACAGATGATGTTCAAAAAGTCCCATGGTTGGCCGCGCAAGGGAAATTCTACTTTTTGGAAAACAGGGACTTTGCTCTGGGTGATTTGTCTCGCGAGCTTGCCCAACTCAAGGAGGCGGCCCCACTTGAGTGGCGGAGAGAAGGCATGTCCGTGATCAGCTCAGTTATACTGAGCTCTGGTGACTAAGGAGTTGTAAAACGCATGCTGAAATCACTAAGGTCTATGTAATCTCTCTATGAACATGTCCTGCAACTCCCAAGTCATCACTTTACCAAAGCCAAAAACAGGTTAGGTTTGGTTATTGTGCCTGGGGAGTTTGATTACACTATAGTCCTATCTCATGAGCTCCTTTGGCCCTGCCGGTGTGGAATGCAACCTTGGGTGCGTTAGCAGCTGGAAGACAAAACCCAGCAAGGAACAACCGTAGAGACAGCAAGGGCGTGAAAAAGAAAGAGCTGGCTAGGACTCTCATGTTGAGGTCCTTTTTCACTAGAGCCCACAAGTCCCAAGCTTCAAGTAAGATGCCGCTCAAGACCGTGCCAGCCTCCCAAACCCAAAAATAAAAAAATAAATACCAGCACCTGCGTGGACAACGCAACTTATGACATAAGCGTTCCATGTGTCCCCTACTCCCAAGTCATGTAAATGTATATGCAAAATCAAATCAGTGAATACTCAGATGACCTAGGACTTCTGGGCTGAAGTCCTTTCTCACTAGAGGCCACAAGTCCCAAGACATCAGAACCTAGTATAATTCTTTTGCTGCAGCTTTGCCCTGCTCTTGAATAAATAGATACATATATATTTTTTTTTCACGGTTCTTTTCCGTGCTACCATGTGCTCACGAGAACATCCTTCTCAGATCCTGTGATCTGGAAGGGCAGGCTTCTTTCAGCCTTCGGTTGAGCTGGACCTTGTCGCCGACGATCCGGTTGCGGGCGCCGCACCGTGAGCGCTCGGCGGAATTGCCCTGTCTCTGCATGGTGTGTGTGCCATGCCGGTCCCACATCGAGGGCGGAAGTGGCCCACTGTTGCAGACTTGTCCGACGAACTCCTCAAAGATCTGCTCATTGGACCTTGCTAAAATGTAGCTTTTGCAAAGGTCACAGCGCAGGTACGCTTTGTCTAAGCGCAAGAAGTGCACACCTGTCTGTGGCTTGTCCTGGCTGTCGATGAGCTGCTTGATCACCTCCATGCGGGGAGTCTTGGTGATCTTCTGCTGGGTCGGATTTTGGCAATCCGAGCTCATGGCGGTCTTGATCTCCTGGATCATACTCTTGGAGTGGATCCTGGATTTGCATCGTGTGCAAATGGCACCCGAGCGGTGCATCTCCCATTGATGCCCTCCTCGACCAGGCTCTTTAAGCAAAGCCGCAATGAGCTCCTTCTTCTGCTGTAGAAGTGGTGTTCTGACCTCCTGAGAGATTTGAGTGGGTTTCCTCAGGAAGTGATCCGGATCTCTGAGGATGTGGTCGACCCTCTCTGCCGCTACTGTCAAGATGTCAGCAAGGTCTTCGTCAGTGGCCTTCTGGTAGGAAAGAAAGTCTTTGGGAGCTTCAGCTTTGGCTCGCTCTTGTGCAATGCGTTTGATGGACTTCTGAAGTTGCTTCCTGGTCTTCATGCCCTCTTCCTGTTGCAAGTGGGAGAGGAAGAGCAGAGGTCGGACTTGATCGAAATCTTCAAACTCCAGACCATGATAGAGATCCGGGAAGCGTTCCAGAGCCGTATGAGGAGTCCAAGCTTTCCAGACTTGAAGGTTGGAGATGCCGACATGGGTGGAGTCCAAAAGGTGCATCGCCAATTGCTTGAGAGCAAAGAAAGTGGCCCTTGTTCTGGAGGCCTCACCCGGACAGATGCCTGTGATGGAAGCTATGCACTCTTTGGTGGCAATCTCAAAGATCCCAATTGCAAAGATGTATTGCTGGTGACGGACATCCGCACACGTGGCCGCAATGTCCAAGCAGCAGCAGGCGTGGCCATGGTCTATGTGACACGGTTGCAAGTTGTGCCATTGGCCACTGCCAATGAAGGTGGAAGGTCCTCCGTGTCGCTCCCGAAAGGGCAGTTGGGCAAGACCCCGATGCCAGATCTCCGGCTCGATGTTTTGACTGATGCGGCCCTTCCACTCGTCCGGGATATCTTTGACCCGTCCTTGCCAGTAGGAACATTCCCAGATGAGATGCACGGTGGAGATCTCGACCGCGCAAAGAGGGCATTGTCCCTTGAAGCCATGTAAAGTGCCCTGATGAAAGGCTCTCAGGGCACAGGCCAGCCGGTCGCTGGTGGTGCGCTGCAACTTGAGGCTCATAGTCCAATCCAAGGGTTGCTCCAAGTGTTCACAGCCATTGTACTTGGTCAACCGGATGAGGCGTTGCCACTTGAACTCCTGTTGCAACCTCATGGCCAACTCCGGCCACAACAGCTCGATGGACAGTGTGCAATCTGGAATTGCCCCGTAGCCAACTCTGTGCCACTGATGGCCGTCTTGAAGGTCGAACCCAAGATCCAACGAATAGGCTTGTAGGGCTTGAAGAGGTCCAGTGACAACCTGCCATGGGTATTTGGCCTTGATCAACGGTGCCAAAGCCAGATTCCAGCTGGAGTTGAAGAGGTGTTTCTTGCTGTCATCAAAACTGTGATACAGTTTCCAAATGGTGTGGACATGTTGGAGGATGATGACGTCACCTGGGTCAGGATGTTTCTTATTCATGTCAAACACAATGTCGACTGAGCCTGACTTCTGGAGTTTGAGACCTCTGGCTGCCATCGCCCGGAGTTGATGCCGGCGTTGTGGAGCCAGCCCGTTGGCCTGCGCCCCCCAGGTCATTACCGGATGTATCGCCCCACGATGCAACCTGTATCTCACGGATGTGTTCAACTTGAGGCGGTGCATGATGCCCGCTCGGCCTCTTCCTTTGGTGAACCTCTTCCTGACTTGTGGCACCCTTCTCCTCTTAGCTGCCGTGGCGTCGATGCCCAGGTCACGGAAGACGTCATAGAGCTCAGGGTCCCCAGGCTGAAGGATGGCTTTCAGTGCAACTGCCGTCTCCTTTGAGCTGGTGATGAATCCTGTCTTGTCCGTGTTGAGTTTGAGACCAGCTTCAGTGAGGGCTTCATGAAGGCATCTGTAGGATTGCAATGCTTCCTGAGCAACGTAGATAGGGTCTCTGCCGCGAACATCGAAGGAAACATCATCCACCCAGGTTTGGAGAAGGGCTGCCGGATGCTGTCGTTGAAGTGCAAGAAGTGGCTTGTAGAGCACCAGCTTGGCGATGGCAGGCGCTTGAGGGCAACCTTGCAGAATGCCCTTGCGGTAGTGCTGTGGGTCAGTGGCGATGCCCTCCGCTTGGATGACCCTGGGGCCTCGGTAAAGATCGATGGCCATCTTCAGGTGAAGGAGAGGGTACTCGAGCTCCCTTGCAGGCTGGATGAGCTTGTCAAGATCCACAGTGTCGTAAAAGCAACTGAGGTCCGCCAGGCAGGTGACCGTGTGGATGTCATTATGTTTGCAGAGCTCTGATTGAAGCATCCGTCCAACTGCAATCGAGAGGCAGTCCTTTTTGGGTCTTGCATGATCCCAAGGCATGGCCGTGTCGAGGGACAGCTGCCACCTGACAATGTCCTGCTTGCGGATTCGGTTCCAAAGTCGGTAGAGACAGGAAGTCAACGCAATGGGCCTCTCCACTTTGAGGCTTTTGGGAATCATGACGATGTTGACCATTCTCAATTGTGTAGGGAGAAGAGCCTCTTGTTCCATCTGGTTGAGCAAGTTCGCAAGCTGGGCAATGGCTTCAAATGGTACTTCAAATGGTAATTGCTTGAGAAAATCATATGATACTCCATCCGGTCCAGAGGCCTTGTGCGGCAGTTTCTTGATCACCCGCTGAAGGCTAAGCGGATTGATGGGTTGCATGGTGCGAGCCTGCTCAATGGCATCTTCACGCAACTCCCGAAGGCCATGGATATGGCAAGGTTCATCGACAGGAATCCAAATGGCCCCCCACTGTTCTTGGCGAGCTTGTACTCGTTCTTGTAGAGGAAGATCTTGGAAAGGGCGTTGCCATGGGGTGTCTTTTTGTCGAAGACTGCGAAAAAGACCTCTGAGGCCCTTGGAGTGAGCTTGAGATAGCCATGTCTTGTACTCATCAGTGTTGGCAAGGGCCAATCCAATGTGAGCTTGATGTTCTTGGACCATGACTACATCTTGTAGGCTTTGCGGGTCTTGATGGGTGTTTTCCATCCATTGCACAAGGGCCGTGCGGAAGCCTTCTTGATCCAGCTCATCAGAAGCATGCTCAGCGATGCTTGGGATCATGTTGAGAAGGTCTTGTCTGACTCCTGCGTGGGCATTGTGACGCAAGACGCTGATCCGGACCGCTAGCTTCTCCCAGAAAGCTGGTCTTCCCTTCTTCCACAGCTGAGCAGGGTGTGGCCCAGCCAAAGGGCCATTGAAGAACTCGATTTGAGACCCCCTTCCTCTTCTTGGTTGCTGTATCTGTTGTGTGAGATAGGCCTCCGATTTGGAACTCCACCGTGCAAGATCGGATCCCAGGCCAGTGATCTGGTAATTGAGGATGTGGAAGGGCCCATTGGGTTCCGGAAACTCTGACCAGCCGTGGAGTGGGTTGAGTGCCCTTCCGATGGGCGGAAAAGCCCGAATCTGTTGAACCTGAATGGAGAGGTGCTCCGTGTGGTACCTGAGAGTCAGGGCGCAGTGTGGTTTCCATGGCACTTCCCACGTCAGGTCAAGGTCCAAAGCCCCATGAAGAGAATTGGAGACCAAGAAGTAGTCAATGTCGCTGGCCTGGAGAGTTGTTGGTCCGTCTCCACTGAGGATATGTGCTTTGAACTTGCTTTGGATGACCATAGCAGCAAGTTCACTGGGCGGGTTTTGCCAGTCACCCCCAATGATGAAGGGAGCCTTGAGGAGCTCAAGGAAACCAAAAAGGTTGCTGAGGATCTCCGCATTCAAATATATATATATATATATCAAGACATATATATATATATAATCTAGATCACAACATTTATGTTCCGTTTCGGTTTGGGGCTGGCAACCGCTCCAAACCTGCGCCTCCATCCTTTTCACCGGCGGGAGCCTTGAACTCGGGTTTGGTGGGTGAACTCGTTTTGTTTGACCGTTTCTTTTCTGGGCGGGGAATGTGTAAGACATCGGCTCCCCGATTCGGTTGGAGACGTGTGTTTTTTCCGTGAAGTTTTCAGCGTAATTACACACCTTGCTATGTTTGAAGCAGGCCCTGGGCTGATGACTTGTTTGAGATGGGAAGATTTACCAGGAAGTGACAGGAAGTGGCTTTAACTCCGGTGGATTGGACAATGACAACAAGGGATTCAACAGGGGATGGCCAGGGGTGTTCAACAACATGCGTGCTTTTGACTTGCACTGGCCCCCGTGGGTTCCAAGGTGCTGCTACCAGCCTCAGCCAACACCCCCTGGCTGCGACAGGCTGAAGAGGACGTGAAAGTCCTAATGCCGGCGAGCTACTTCATGGACGATGGAACCTTCATCACCAGAAATCGCGCTTTTGCAAATTTTACGTTTTCTGCCTTGCTGCTACTGGACCAAGACCCCGGAATCCCTCCCCAGAGCTTGATTGACTGCATTGCACACGGCACCGTTCCCATCATTGTGGGCAAACACCACAAACTGGACTACACTCGGTACTTTTCCTTCGCGTTGGCCAAGTTCCGCGACTTCTCAGTAGAGCAAGCCATTTCATTTATGCTCACTGCTCCTGCGGATGCCTTGTATGTGTATGCCAACTCCGTCAAGATTGTGCAGGAGTTTTTTTTACATGAGGCTCACAGAGGGGATGCACCATAATTGTTCAGCCTCAAAATAAATTTAACGCATAGCTTAGCGGCTCTGTCGTAGCCCTGCAGGTACAAGCACCCTTTTCAGCAACGATTGCGGCGACACGCTGACATGGCCTGCCATGCATTGAGAAGCCCGCAGCCTCCTTTAGTGACTAGCCTTTCTAATGATATCCACACATAAAAGTGGTAGATGACATGCTGACATGCTGTATTTTTCCTGCGACATGCTAGCTGAGGCTTTTGTCTCGATATACTCAGCAAAGAGAAACTTTGGAAGGCGCTTGGCATTGAGGGATACATGGCTTCCACTTCTGAAGACTCATGGTATACCCTATAGGTTTTTCCTTGCTGGAACGGCTGTTGATGACACAGAGCTGGATAGCCTGTTGCGACGGGAAAGAGACTACTTTGACGACATGGTCTTCTTGGTTGGGACCACAGACGAGTACCCTATCGGAAAAAAGGGCTTGGCCGCGCTGCTATGGGTGGCACACCATTCAGATGCACAATTCTGGCTGAAATTTGATGATGATTTGTATGTCCGACCTCAACTGGTTTTAAGCAGACTTGCTGGCATCCAGCGCGCTGAACTCTATTGGGGCGCTTTTGACTACAGTGGAATGGTGATTCGGGATGCGTCGGATCCGCATTACACACCTCCGGAGATCTGGCCAGAGCCCGTGTTTCCTCCCTATGCGCGTGGCGCTGCCCTTGCCATGTCGATGGACCTGGTCCGCCTGATTGCGCATCAAGAGGAGCATCGGCCATTGAAGAAGATCAAGGCTGAGGAAACTGAATTTGACCGCAGTACGTGTAGGTGCTTGAAGAATAGCTCGTGGGAACTCATGAGGGATGGTCGAACTCATTGTTGTTTCGAAAGTAAAACCGGAGCCATAGAAATCGTAGAGCGAACGTTCCAGACACTATTTCGACGCACAAAGCTGAAGAATCTATGAATAAACTATACAACAGTGTACATATTTACTGAACTCTAAAGTCTGAACTAAAACAAAACACGGAACATGTGCTGAAGAGCAAAGCGTGATTTCAGACAAGTTGATTTGTGGTGCTATTCTTCGGTTCTTGGACATGAAGCGGCTAGCTACTTGGCTCCCATTGTAAGAATTGTAAGATGCCTGAGGGTTTTCACTGGCATTACTCCTGAAACACTTTTTGGTAGCGTCCTTGTTCCTAGTAGTAAGGCCAGGAGCTCCTAGTAGCGTTCTTGCTCCTTCTGTTGCGATAGAGATGCGACTGTTCATCGACCTTTTGGTCCGTATAGAGTCAAAGCACCCGGCGCTGTGGGTGAGCATTCGCTTGTGCAATTGAAATTGCACTCGTTTCAACCCCCAAGGTCCGTCACGTGGAACAGGAGTCAGAAAACCAGAAAGAACACGGACAAGTATTCATCAAGTGTTTACCACAATGCCTGCACACATTCATTGTAGTTATGAATTTACATGCATCAGGCCCTCAACTCGTTTCATTCGATGAAGCGGCCATGTTTGAAGAAGCCGGCTGTTGCAGGTGCTGTAGGCCCCACCCCCCACCCCCCAGGATGCAGGGAGTCTATGCGCTGTAGGCCCAATCCCCCACGAGTGTGAAAGCGAGTGCAGAATGGTGATGGAAGTGCGGCGCAAGTGAGTGAAAGTGAAAGTGTGCAAGTGAGTGAAATGTGGTGTGCGCAAGTGAGTGCCCGGCCATGTAGACAGCTGAACTGTTGCGGCAGGTGCCCCTAAATCGTGGAGAACTTCTTACCTGGGTCATACAGAGCTCTATATATATATACTGTATATATTATCTTGAATCCTCCTGTCATGACTGCCATGGACGGAATAAGGTGTTCAGTTAGTCAGTCATGATCTCAGGAAGCAGCTGTTTGGAATTGCTCATTTTGCCCGGTGAATGTGGCAGTATGGCCCGGTGAATGTGGGCAGTATGCGGCTCTTTTGCTTTTGTGTAGGAATTGCAGTGGCCAAGTATATCAGTTTTGAGCCTTGAAGGTGGAAGATGTCTCGTATGGCTTTTACTTGTGGCAACTTATTTTTGATAGAGAAGTGACATCGTTGACGCTCTATGACAGGGACGAGGTGCACTTTGCTATGGATGCCAAATGCTGCACGGAGGAAACCCATCCCAACAATTGCTGGCTCCCACTCACTGCAGAGACTTGGATCGTTCACCACGTGTCCCCCAACATCATCCGCTGCATGTTCGCCAAGGACATTGCTTCAGGTTTCTATTTGCCAGCTGAACTTGAGACACGGCAGTTGCAAGGGCTGTTGCTGGAAATGGCAGAGTATGATCACACTGTCGAGAGTGCTGCAGGTAGTGTACAAGGTGGCCAGGTGGGAAGTGGCCATCCTGCGGATTTGTGTGGCTGTGTTGTCACGCCGCCACCACATCCGGGCAAGCCTCTCCAAAGAGGAAGGCTCACTGAGCTCAGCACCGGCCCACGCTTGCACTCATGAAAGAGTGGCGGCCTGTGGCGAGACTGCGTGAGCACAGAACAGAAGTTTCGGCTAGTTGAGCCTTGCCCCACAACATACCACCTAATAAGGATGTGTATCAGTGTGTCACAATACTTAACCAGACCTTCACCCTCTTTAGAATTCCCGGCTCAAAAATCAAGATGCTATTCTTGACAACTCCTGGAGCCCTGGACCAGCACGACTTTAGAGGAGTTAGCACATCCATAAATTGTAATAAGCAAACAGCGCAGCCAATAATAAGGCACAGGCAAGATTACAAAACTGATGCCCCACTTGTTTCTTCAAAACTGATTGCTAGGCTGGCGTGCAAGATCTTGCAAACTTCTAGGGCCCAGTGCATTCTTCAGTTGAACCCGCTCTAGGCTCTATATGCTATTTTAATGATTTTAAATGCTATACTATACCAACTTTGGTTTTCGAGGGTCATTGGGTTTGACATAGAATTGTTGGACATACTGGGATGGGCCTACTTCCCTGAGTGGAGTCTACACACTCCAGTTTTTTTGTTTTTTTTGCCCGGACTCACCGAAGACCCTCATAACTCATGACCCAAGATAGTTTGTTTGACGGTGTTTCTTTGCTTATATCAGTCTACAACCTGAAGAGAATTTCGCTGTTTCAAGGCTGGCTTCATACTAGTGCTGAAGGTTGCATGTGGCTTGCATGAAGGGCAGGCTGACAGACTTGTTTGTCTCGCGTGGCGATGTCAGGCTTTCCGAGCTTCGTGCGTTGCAATCGGCCCATGGCGGGAAACAGTTTCATGACGAGAGTTTCCCGCCAAAGCTCCGAGGCATGCACCTTAGACTTAAATCCTTCAGACTCAAGACTGACACAGGTTGAACCTTTGTGAGTCCCATTTCAACAATTCCCGTTTGCTTGATTTCATGATGTTCCATGTTCATATCAACCTACCAGGTCGGGTGACCAGGTGGTGCAGGCCATGAAGAGCGTTCGCATGCGTTGAATAGATGCAGAAGCTGAGCGAAAATAGCTTTGCACAGGCCTAGTGAAATTGGAGCCCATGATGGTCGAGTTCTATGGCGCAGTGAGGAGATTGGACACTGCTCCTTGCAATTATTGCAGTCTGCTTTTTTGAGGGAACAAGAAGCTACTAGGGGCTCCTGGCATCGCTACTAGGAGCAAGGACGCTACTAGGGGCTCCTGGCCGTACTACTAGTAACAAGAAGCTAATGGCCCTGCCTTGGAAGCGACACAGCGAGTTTCTTTGCCAGAACAGGGGTCATTCCAAAAGTGTCTTTGATATGCCCCCAAAGGTGGGAATCATCTCCCATCCATTCCGTTTCTTGAGCGATGAAGATGCCAAGACGATGACAATGCTTCCATAGAATACAATGATGATTGTGTTCCCACAGTGAAACGAATTCGATGACAATGTTTTGAAGCTACCATACTACCATAGCATGAATGCGATGACTATGTGACTTGCCGCGAATGCTGTCACAATCTCCACAAAAGGCAACCGAGGGCAGTGACATGTTGTAGCAATCCTCAACCTTAGGGTGGTGTAACAGGCTGCACGAGAATGAGGAAGAAACCCGCAAGACTGTCAGACACGAAGCGCAGAATCCAATCGCCAAGAATTGAGATTTAGCCAGCAGGAACGAAGCTACTAGGGGCTCCTGGCATCGCTAGTAGGAGCAAGGACGCTACTAGGGGCTCCTGGCCGTACTACTAGTAACAAGAAGCTACCAGGAACAAGAAGCTAATGGAAGGAATGACTTTGGGGAGTCAAGCGGGGTGCGCTTCTGGAAGGATTGGCAGCTTCTCCGTGGACAGCCGCGCGCGGACGACGTGCAGCAGGGCGAGTTTCCATGCAGCACTTGGTTGGACGATGTTGGACGGGTGCTGAAGAACCACAACGGCAACTTCCATACCAAAGGATGGGGCATAATGAACCATCACGAACCTTGGGTTTGGAAGCCCGTTGCATAAGTATATGATATGTATGTATAAATTTCTTTATATACTTTATTATATACTTTATATACTTAATAGAATATTTCATTCATTGGAGAGAGCCTGCTTTCAAAATAGAAAAGAAGTCAACAAAAAGTCAACTTAGTAGCGAGTCCCAAAAGTCAAAGTAAGAAAAGTCAAATCAGAAAGTTTCAGAAAGTCAAACAATGTCAATTGGCACAGATCTGACTGTTGTTGTTGTTGTTTCTGATTTTTGTTTGCTTTTTGCTTCGTTACTGTACTCTTTTTAGTTCTTTTTATTGGTTGTTTCGAGTTGTTTTTTCAGTTTTTTGACTTTTTATTTGAACTGTTTTTACCTTTTTTTGACTTTTTCGAGTTGTGATCCAGTTTGTTCCCCACCTGCCAGGTGAGGGTTGTTAGATTTTATCACAGTTGTTCTTCCTCCTTCCTTCCTTCCTTCCTTTCTTCCTTCCTTCCTTCCTTCCTTCCTTCCTTCCTCCTTGCTTCCTTCCTCGCCAATCTTCATCGCCAATCTTCATCGCCAATCTTCATCGCCAATCTGCTTCGCCAATCTGCTTCGCCAATCTCCTTCGCCGATCTTGTCTGGCAAGCTCCGGATCGCAGTGTGCACCCCTGGACCTCAACCGCAAGGATCCGATCGCAGTGTGCACCCCTGGACCTCAACCGCAAGGATCCGATCGCAGTGTGCACCGCTGGACCTCAACCGCAAGGATCCCCTCGCAGTGTGCACACCTGGACCTCAACCGCAAGGATCCGATCGCAGTGTGCATCCCTGGGCCTCAACCGCAAGGATCCGATCGCAGTGTGCACCCCTGGACCTCAACCGCAAGGATCCGATTGCAGTGTGCACCCCTGGACCTCAACCGCAAGGATCCGATCGCAGTGTGCACCGGTGGACCTCAACCGCAAGGATCCGATCGCAGTGTGCACTGCTGGACCTCAACCAGATAGTTTGCCAGATAAAATGCCAGATAGAAGCCAGGTAGATTGCCAGATAGAATGGCGCAAGAAGATATGCCAGATAGTATGCCAAATAGTGTGTCAGATAGATTGCTAGATACATTGCCAGATAGAATGCTAGAAAATATGCCAGATAGAATGCCAGATAGAATGCCAGATAAAATGCCAGATAGAATGCCAGAAGATATGCCAGATAGAATGACAGATAGTATGCCAGACAAAATGCCAGATAGTATGCCAGACAGTATGCCAGATAGTATGTCAGAACCAGAACCACACAATCACAAACACACAACCACAAACACACAACCACAAGCACACAACCACAATCAC